GCATTAATTAATAGTATTTTGGGCTAGATATACTGAAAATCAATTTATAACAAGCTTTTCAGGTAGATAATCATAGCATAACCTAAGGATTTCGATAATTAATAATATAGTATTATTTCAGTAACTGGCTAACAAAATTCCAGTATAGACATAGTTTAAGGGAATTATTATTATGTTAACACACATGTAAAATCTCATTTTACTTTTACATAACCTAACTCTATCCTCCCTAAACCATAGTTTGTTAATGGCTAAAAATATCCTTTTAAAACATATTATTCCTAAGTATTAAATTTGACAGATAAAAAAAGGGAGGGGGTCAAAGTCTACTGACTTGACTTGAATAAATTGACATTTCCGCTTAAATTTTTAAAAATTGCATTTGATTTTAGCTTAAATACAAATGTTGACATACATACATGATCGATGAAAGAGCCAAGAAATTTATTCATGGTATGATACGCTCTTATACTGTGCTCCAAAGTACTTGCTGATGAAGTCAATAGTCTAGCAGGGCCATTTTTCTAATGTAAAAGGGAGAAACAAATCAATGCAACATGCCTTATGTTCTTAGTATTTAAATAACATTAAATATTGGCAAAATATACCTGAACTGTACTTTATACAAACCCTCATTAGTGTCTCATGAATTCTGTCATAGTGTTGTCTCATCTGGCTAGAAATTGCAATCTGAAAAGTCTGACCATCCGTGTTGGGTACCAAACCTCTCTGGCTACACAAATTTTCCTGAAAAGTTAAAGAATTTAAATAAAGATCAAAATGTTAAAATATGTCCTATCTGAAAAAGAAAATACAACATTTTTCTTTTAGTTGGTATCACACATTACAAGATTCAGAAACCAAGTGAAATTTACTGAAACTATCTGAGACAGAGATTCTAATATTATCCAATGTTCCCACTCCCCTCTAGATTTTACTAATTTCTTCTTCATTTTAATTCATACTCCCCTGTAGGTCTTTATATCAACTCCTTTACTCTGCTCTACTTTAAAA